TTACATTACATTCATTTATTGTAAGATAGTGCACGCAAAGTGTTAACGTAATTTTCTATACTAATTGATTTTGTTAATATATTTGTTAAATAAAATAAATAACATGGATAGGAATCAAGTAATGAGTTTGGTAGAGGCCGCTCTAGAGATATCTAGGGAAGAGTTTTCTAGGCAGATTAGCGACCTGACAAATGCAATTCGATCACTTCAACCCGCAGCAATAGAGACGCTAACGCCGGCTATAATTAGAGAAGGTGTAGCAAATTCACACACAAATTTAGACTTAGTAAAGTCTTTGCAAATCTTTAAGGATAATCCAGCAAAATATCCTGCAGGGAGAGAAGCGGCACATTTCGCCATGAATTATTATACTGAAGGATCAGAATCCTATTATGTGGCCATAGGGATTCTTAGGAACAAAATCGCAGGTACGGCAAATACGGCCCTTAGTACCTTTAATACGATACTAAATTTTGAGGCAATAATAGCAAAGCTCGATCAAACATATTCAGACAAGCGTCCACTGCATGTCCTAGAAAAGTGTTCTTCGACAAGGACGCATGACGATTAACGAATATTATGATGCGGTGGATAAGCAATTAACTTTAATAATAAATAAAAATATAATGACAAATAATAGTAATAGTGACTTGATTAGTGCACTTTATGACCGAGCAAGAGAAAATGCACTTCGTGTCTTCATTTCGGGTCTTCGACGCTCAATTTGTGACATTTTGTTTTCGTCACACCCTCCAGATCTTCCAATAGCACTTGCAACCGCACAGGAGTTAAAACAAAGTCATCAAAGGTACGATTTTGCAAATGCGTTTGCTGTTGCGAAAAATGTTAGAGTTAGAAATTTTCGGGAAGTGGCTCAGCGTAGCCCCCACCCCAACTATCAGAAAAATTATTGGCCTAACAGACAAATTAATTCTCGATACAATGAATCTCAGGCTGCACAACAAAATACACTAAATCACCAAGGTAACATACCAATACCTATGGAGGTGGACCCTGGTACTTCCTATTTTAGACGGCCAAACATGATACAACTACAGAATTACTCAGGCAATCACATACAGAAACGGCAATATGAGGGTAATAACTCAAATCGTTCACCAGCCCAAAAATTACAGAAAATTAATGCTAATGCACATCAGCAGAATTCTGATCATGTAGATTACGACCCTTCTGGTGAAATTTCAGATGATGTTAATTTTTTAGGGTAAACTCGCTCCTGCCATTTATCGCGCGACGAAATCCAGATGGCAAGGAGCTTCGCATATTGATTGACACGGGAATTTCGAAAAATTATTTTAAAAATCACAATTTTCTAAAGGGTATTAGGCTTCTTGATGTTCCGTTCCTTGTTAAATCTATCAATGGAACAAATAAGATTACTAAATTTTGCGAGATAAATATTTTTGGCAAAACCACAATTTTTTACATATTACCAGCCCTAAGTAGTTTTGACGGAATCATTGGCTATGATTTCCTCAAAGCAATAGAAGGAAAAATCGATACAAAAAATGATGTTCTTTTTCACAAAAAAGGAAAAGATATACTTAACCATTTAACGTGCGAACAAGTAAATTCAACAGATAAACAAAATTCCTTTCCCAATCAATTAATACCCGCATTAGGTGATAAAATTGCAAATAATAAAAATGCTTTTGCAGACCCTAATCGGGCTTTGCCTTATAATACAAATGTTAAAGCAACAATTAAATAGCTTACTGATGATCCTATTTATACCAGGGGTTATCCATACCCCATGTCAGCCGCTGAATTTATAAAAAAAGAAATTAAATCCTTATTAGAAGATGGCATAATTCAGAAGTCATGTTCTC